CTCCATTTCTGTTCAGATAGAGTGGGAGGGAGGGACAGGGGGAGAGAGAGAGACATTGATGTGAGAGAGACACATGGAGTGGTTGCCTCCCACATGACCCAACCAGGGCTTGGGACAAATCACAACTGCAGTACGGGCCCTTGACTGGAATCAAACCCGCGACTCATAGGTCTGCGGGCCGATGCTCAACTGCTGAGCCGACCAGCCAGGGCGATGATAGGGAGTTTCTAAGAAGAAAACGTAAAACGATTAGGGTGAATTCTTGGTGAAACCCATGTTAGAGGAACAGGGCATGTTCACCTGTGGTGGGAGGACTGGGCGGTCACTGTCCACAGGGGCCGTTCCCAGAGGGGAGGGGCACCCCGGCCCACCCTCTGCCAGCCACTGGTTCTCCCTGGGCAGAGGTGAGGCCCGGGCTCCTGACAGCCCTGGCTCGGGGAGGGAGCAGGAGGGCTGGCCGAGCACCGGGAGGCGGCAGCAGGCCCGGCGAGCTCTGGCCCCGCCTCACCCGGACTCCCCCACCAATCCCGGCTGTAAGCAGACCTTCTGAGAAACGGCACCTGGGGCTTTGACGTTGTGGCCGCAACTGACCCGAGTGAGCGAGGCCGCTGGCTTTAGAGAAAAGTAAATATTTAACCCGTGCGAGCAAACCTGCTTTCACAAGTGTTGGCTGCAAACGTTTTAAAACATGTTTTGTCGAAGATCTGTGTGAGCGGCTGCGACACACGTGAAGTCAGGGTGCCCCAGGAGCAAACGGCGTTTCGCTAATGTGTGGAATCGGCTGCCCTTTGCAGACCTACAGCTCACCCCACTGCGATTTCGCTCTGGGGCGGAAGTCCAGGCACGGATGTTTGACATCACAGACATGAGACAGAGGTCTGGCGCTCACATTTCTCAGGGGGACGGCCCATGGCAGCACGCTCTCCGGTGATGCAGAGGTCCTGGGGAGCTGTGTTCTGGGTGGGCTTCCGGCTCAGGCTCCGCCCGGTCTGATGGAGACCCTCACCGCTCTTAAGACAGTGTGGGGTGTCCTGCTCCGTGAGCCACGTGGTATTGAAAGCCACAAGCGCTCCCTGGTTCCTCGGTGCGCCTACGGTGGCTGTAAGGCCCCTCTGAGTAGTTCTGTAGCATCTGCTCACGAGTCTTGGAGAACCTCAGGGTTTGCCTGCTGACCCCATGGGACAGACTTTGGGGAGGGAGGCGCTGGCTTCCGCTGCCTGGGAGCGGCCATCCCTGCAGCAGTGGGACCCCCACCTCGTGTCCCCTGTGGAGACGGGACCCTCCTGCAGCTGATCTAGCCCACTTCTGTCCCACGGCAGAGAAGGAAATGCACGATCAGGAGGCCAGGGAGACAGATGTTGCAAAGTGTAGACTCAGAGGACATGGAGCCCACAGAGGCGGTTCGCCCAGCAGCTCATGGGCAGGAGAAGGAGGGCTTCAGGACAGGCTACAAAGAGGAGGGCGTTCTGTCTCCAGGGCTGTTAGAAAACACTGAGTTGCACTCCTTTCTTTTAAAATAAAGTAGAGCTGACCCAAAAGGCCCCGAAACTTGGGCTTGGCGGGGAAGCACTCCAGGGCGGACATTCCAGCTTCCCATTGGGTGGAGGCTGCTCATCGGGCCCATGGACAGGACGCCACTGAACCACACACCTTCAGGTGGTCTGTTCCCTGTCACGCGGGTTTCATCTCAGTGAGAAACACAGCAGCCGCGCTCTCTCTCGACGAACAAGAAACTTCTGCCATTTTCTCTCGACTGTTCCAACAAAGACAACACTCAACCCTTCAGAAGAGAGCTGTCAGACATCCTCAGAGTCCAGGGGTCAGTGTGTGGCCAGTGCAAACGTGACCGAAGAGGGGGTGCTGAGGAGGGGGCATGTGATGTCCTCCTGGAGGTTCCCACCCTCCCAAGCTCTGAGTCTCCATAACTTCAGCGGCGTCTCTGCCTGCTCTCCACCACCTGCCTGCTCCGTCCATGCTCCTGACCCCTCTGGGCCCCTCCAGTGCTGTCACAGGTGCCGGGGTGGCAGGAAGGGGCTCACAGGGGCACCCACTCCCATGCTACTGCGCCTGCCTCCCTCCGTCTCCTCCACTGGGGCATCTGCCAGCCTTAGGGACCCCACACCCCACGCCGTCATCTCTCTTTGTGGGTGCTCCTGTCTTTGCTCTCTGCCCTCAGACCAAAGGGAGATTTGAAAGTACCAGACAAAACGTCACTTCATTGATTTTCAGAGGCTATAAAATCAGCTGCAGGGGCTCACGGGACACTTTACAGCCCGCAGGACGGCTTCCGAGGCTGGGGCTGTCCTGGGAGGACTGTGCCTTTGAAATTCAGACCACGTCAAAGGCTCCCTCTGCCAACCCCTCCCCCAGGCCTGTCTCTCCATAGCCACTGCCTCCGAGGACCACACCCAGCCGACCACACCCCGCTGTGCTGGAAGGCAGCCTTGTTCACACCTGGGAGGAAGGGCTGGCGGGCTGGGGGCTCAGGGTAGGCCGCAGGCGGAGGGCAGGGCAGAGCAGAGGGAGGGAGGCCCCCCCCCCCAGGGAGGCCCCCCCCCAACATTGCTTACAGGAAGAAACCCCAAAGGTGTGTTGCAGGGAAAGGAACAGCTTGGACCGGGCAGAGAAACCATGTTCCAGCTTCGGAGAGGCCCCCAAGTGAGCAAACACAAAATAATTCAAAGTGCTCTCGCCCATAAAGCAAAGCCCACCCGTGATGGAGACTTAGTTCTAAGGTCACTCAGAAGATAAGGCGGAGTCACACCGGTTCAAGGGACGCACCACGTCAGGAGGGGCAGTGCTGCCGCTGCGGGCGCAGGGCTGGCAGCTCAGCGGGCAGCTGGGGGCACTTCTGGCGAGAGCTGTTCACAGGTCATGCCGCCCCACTCCACACAGGCTGCCCGGGGACCCCGTCGGGGAGCAGCAGCGCTGGCGAGACCGCGGTGCGCACCAGGCTGCTTGGCACAGCACAGGGACTGAGCAGGAAACAGACGACGCCCAGGTCGGGTCATGAACCCTGGAGAACACGAGGCCGCAGAACCTGTGGTCTCACTGTTTCTTATGTGACTTGGCTTGGAAGTCTCAGTCCCTTAACTCACTCAGGCGGGCGTGGCGGTCAGCCGGCCTTTCCTCTGTCTGGCTGTTTCCTTGAACGTGTCACAAAGGTGTTTGATCACCAAACGATGCAAAACCAGGTGATGGTGAGGACCCAACAGCAGCAGAGACGGGAGTTCGGGCTCATCCACGAGAAGCAAGGATTCGATGCCTCAGACCACACCGCGTGGCGGCAGTGACGGCTGTGAGCACGCACAGCGCCAGCAGGGCCTCCTGGTGTGTGCTCACCACAGACAATGCCTATAAAAGACAATCGCAGTGTCCCACTTACAGAAAAGAGCCCATCCCCCACGCTGAGTGGCCGTGGCCGTGGCCGGAGACCTCTCACAGCTCGAACAGGCACGGACGTGGAACAGTGGCCCAGTGGAGCCAGTGCCTTGCCTTTTCTTATCCTCACCCGAGGACACTTTTGCATTTATCTTCAAATAGAGCGGGAGGGAGAAAGGGGGGAAGAGAGAGAGAGAAATGTCATGTGAGAGAGACACAGTACTGGTCGCCACCCACACGACCCCAACTGGGGCAGGGAACAAACTGCAACCAAGGTTCGTGCCCTTAGCAGGAACCGAACCCAGGGCTCTCTGGTCCGCGGGCTGACACGCTAACTGCTGAGCCACACCAGCCAGGGCGTGACCCAGGGCCTTTCACCCAGGTGCCTGCGCGTGCAGAGGACAGGGAGGCTCGTCCAGAGGTCCAGCCAGGGTCAGCCTCAAGAAACAGGCAGGGTGCCAGGCAGGGGCCACGACCCCCGTCTGCTCACAATGGGCCCTGAAGCGCAGCTTTAACTGACTGGACAGCAGACTCGGCCCACCCGCGCAGCAGCCCTGCCTTCCGCCCAGCTCCTCCGGCACCCTCGTCTCCGTGCGTCGCGCCCTCCCGTGCTCACCCTCTGTCTGCAGGTCGCCTCGCGAGCATGTGGGACACGCTGACCGGAAGGCCAGGGGCACAGACACATGCTTGCCCTGAGCCCTGGCGGCCCTTCCCCAGACGCCTGCAGACCTGTGCGTCGGTCTGACGGTCGGCGACCTCGCGGCCAGCTCTCTTCTCCGAACCAGACAAGGGTGAGAGGCCCGCCTACATATCCAGACTCCTACTTTTGGGGGAAACTAAAGACACACAGTGAAGAGCTCTTGGGGTTCTGAGATGCAAAGCAGTGACCCACAAAGAGCCTCGAAGGTCCGGAGGCCTGCGGGTCCAGGTACACACTCTCCTGGGGGACAGGGCCCAAGGTGGCCGGGACACTCAGATGCGGTTTGGAAGGGCTCTCAGCGCCACCCGCGGACTGTTAGGGAGGAGAGCAGCAGGCACAGACGCCGCCTCGTGGAAGGGGCTCAGTACGCGCTAGCCACTACGCACCAGACGGAACTTCCGCCCGGAAAACACCGAACTGCTGTCACGCACCCATGTCTGGAACAAGGACTGTGACAGAGAGGGACCGAGGTGCACTTGGAGCACACTCGGGCGCACCCCACTGGGCCAGCAGGCACCCCGGTGGGAGGGCGGATGCCGGGCCCTCTCTGAGAGCTCTGTCCCCCGCTGTCAGCGAGCTAAGAGCAGAAGCACAGGACAGCCGAGGCGTCCAGGGGCCTGTGTGCTCTTGGCGGTGGGCGCCGTCCCTGTTCCGTTTCTGTGCCAGCTTCCTGTGGACACGTGTGGGACCTCTGCCCACTCCACACACCTGGCGACTGCCCGACAGACAGGACTATGGAGGAGGGACAAACACGCACTCTCCCCTTGCTGACGGGCACGTGGCGTCCATGCGCAGCAGGGAAGGGAAGACGCGTTTCTCCCGCTTCAGCCAGTGCATTGGGGGGTCTGCGTCAGCACAGGGGAGGAGTCTAGGATCGCGGGGGTGCTGAGGGGCGCTGCAGAAGAAAAGGGTCACGTACCAAGTCCGGCTTCACGCGGTAGGTCAGGGGGAGGGCCAGCCAGGCGGCGTGCAGGGTGCTGAGCACCGTGGACAGCCAGGACTGCTGCACCTCGCGGCTCCGGGGGATTCGGTGGATGTGGTGCCCGGGCGCCTGGAAGGAAGAGCACAGACCCGCTCAGCCGACACGCCAGGTGACACCTGTGCAGGCGCAGTCCTGACTAGTCTTCGCCTTCATTCTGAGTGCCTCACATTCACATAAAAACACTTGTCTCTGGGGTATGACAGAAAGGTTCCAAATTTGATTCAAAAATGTCAAAGTCGGTTTTGAAGGTACCCTGGGGGACGGCTCTGTGATGTCTGTTCTGGGCAAAGGGCGGCACAGGCCAATGCCCGGGGCGTCCACAAACCGTCAGCGAGCACGGGCTGCGTGGAGCAGGCAGGCCGTGACGGGCGAGGCCGCAGAGGAAGGGCCAGCAGGACACACGGAGGTGGTGACCAACCCGACCCACACACGCTCACGCAGCGAGCACCATTCACCCCTCCCGGCACAGGCCTGGGCTCTCTGGGGTGGGGAGGCTCCTGGGCAAGCTTAGGGCTGGAGCTCCTGGGGCAACCTGGGAACGTCTGCCGGCATTTTAAGTGCGTTAACTTCTGACCAGTGATTTTGTGTCCAGAAGTCCAGCCCCAAGTCACCCACAGGGCCCAATGTGGCATTATTCCTCCAGCAGGGAACGGAGAAACCCACGCGAGGAGATACACGGAGACGCAGTGATGAGTGACACAGACTTATGTGACCAAGCATGAGACGGGCCAACGTCCGTGGTTAAAGTGGACAGGTCAGGTGTTTCATATGATCCGGTGTGTGTGAACAAATCACACACGTGTGTCTGTGCACACACATGCACACAGACTAACATTTGTGTGGAGAAAATTGCAGCCGATTTGCCACAAACTGTCGAGGGGGTGACGTCACAGGATGTTTTCACGGTCCAGGCCACACCCCTGCGTCTGAAATCCACACCAAGCAGAAGCTGCCCCTCTCTCGACCAGAGACCATGCTCTTTCCTCGAACCAGAGCCCCAGGGGCATTCGTCACCTTTTGCTGAATAACAGACTCCCCGCCACTTGGCCGCTTAGCAGGAGCAGTGTTGTCGGTCCTGGGGGCGGGAATGGGAGTGGCCCCGATGGGCTGTCCTGGGCGGCTTGGCTTCCTCATGACGCTGGAGGCAGTAGGCCCCCCCCACCTGCCCTCTCCACAGCGCCAGCCTCCCAGAAGCAAGTGACCCGAGAAGGGTGAGGCTGACCCTCAAAGTCACACCTGGTCACGTCCAGAAAGGCCCACGGGCTCACGGGACAACCTTGAGCACTGGGATGTGTGTGACTGGGCTGTGGAGCTCGGCTACCACACAGCTAGTCGGGCTGAAGGGTGAAGCGTTAATGCACCACCTTCGCCCTCAGGAACAACCTGTGCTTCGGAGAGAGCGGAGAGCCTCCTGAACCGGCGGAGACGTGCTCTGTCCGCGTGCCCAGCACCCAGGCGGTGCACGCGCACCACACACAGGGAGCTCACTCTGCCCATGCCGGCCCACGTTGCCCGGTGCCGGCCCACGTTGCCCGGTGCCGGCCCACGTTGCCCGGTGCCGGCCCACGTTGCCCGGTGCCGGCCCACGTTACCCGGTGCCGGCCCACGTTGCCCGGTGCCGGCCCACGTTACCCCGGTGCCGGCCCACGTTACCCAGTGCTGGCCCACGTTAGCCCGGTGCCGGCCCACGTTACCCGGTGCCGGCCCACGTTAGCCGGTGCAGGGGCCTGGGCTCCGCACAGAGCCCAGGCTGGGAGCAGGGGCTGAGGCGGGCAGTGCTGAACCAGAAAGTACACTGAGCTATCCCAGAACACAGGGTGGCAGCAGAATGGGGCCGGCCACCTGGATCGCCGGGCCCACAGCCTGGCTGTGCTCCGCACACGGACCCAGTGCCGGGTGTTCGATGCCCGTGTCCCCTGGAGGAAGCACTGAGAGCCAGGCTGTGGCAAAATCTTCAGAGAATTTTGATTCCTTTGTATAGTTTTAGAAAATAGACAAATACATGGAGAGGTGAATGGAGACAGTGATCAATGGAAGGCTGTTTGGCCTCAGCAGAGTCCCACTGAAGACAACGGGGGCCTGGCTGCGGCCTCGGGCACCTGGAGACATGCCCATGGAGCGGGTGCAGGCTGTCCCGTCAGTCTGCACCTCTGCCTGGAGGGGATGGTCCCCGCCTCTGCACCCCCATTAATGGACTTGGGACTCAGAGAAGCTGCTCAGTGCCCTCAGAGACGAGTGTCTGTGCGGATGAGTCAGTTCCTGCAAGTCCAGCCCCAGCTGAGAGAAGACGCTGCCTCGACCTCAGGGCTGCACCAGACCGACGAGTCCCACCTGCTCAGGGCGCGGATGGGGACTCTCCCTTCCCAGGGCAGCAGCCTGCCAGGGGCAGAGCCGGGACCTGACCCCAGGTCTTGCATGTGTCCCAAAACTCGCTTACTGACCCTTCCTGGGTCTCCACTACCCAGGGGCCACCGTCTCTGACACCGGCTGGCGGCACCCCAAGGCTGTGCCAGCCTCCTGTGCTGCCACACGCACCACCCTGACCCGTCCGCTCCGTGGGAGAGGGAGAGCTCTGTCCCCGCACACCTGAGCCAGTGTCCCCTGCTTGGCTCCGGGACCCGAGCTCCCAGCTGCCCTGTGCCCTGTGCCCTGTGCCCTGAGGTTTCCACATCAGCCCAGCTGCCCAGCTCCGAGCCTTCGGGGAAACCGGAATAAATGCAGAGCCTTGGAAATAGACGCTGCTGTTGAACCTTTGACCCGAGGCCCTTTGGGAAGTTCTGTTGTTTTGCTGTTGCCCCTCCCTGGCGAGGTCCTGGAAGCTAAGTTCAGGGTTTGTCTGCAGGGTGGGTCCCAGCAGCAGACCCAGTCTCTCCAAAGGGCAGGAACCGACAGGAGGAGAAGACGCAAAGGCAAGACCCTCACATGCTCTACCGTACCGCTGGTGACACCCTTTCTGTCCCTGAACTGTCTGCTGGCCCACCGTCCATCCATCCTGATCGAGGGCTGGCAGGGACACGGTGTACGCTCCAGCCTCCCCGGGCCCCACACCCCTGACCGCCACGTGAGTGAACGTGAATGGCAGACAGTCCAAGGCAGAATGCTCAAAGGTGGAAAAATAAAGTGGAGAGAGGACATTTCTCAGGCTTCGACTTTCTCTGAAATGATGTGAATGCCAAGTTAAATGTTAATAGCATATGACAACTTGTAACTTTAAAGTATCTTCCAGAATTACATCACTGCCAAACACCACAGACATATCTGGCTTCAGATTTGTGACCAACTAAACAGTGGATTCTAGTGTGTTAGACAGAAATAACCCCACTGAGGAACCGAGGGCGTCACGAACCACAGCAGAGCCACGCGTGGTCAGCGAAGCACCGCCCGGAGCCACGCCCTGAATGCACAGACCGCTATCACTTAACGAAAGCTGTGCTACTGCAGAACCTTGGAAACAAGACAAAACTAAAACGGTAAAATCTCATTCGACCAAAAATGGTTTCAGCTTTCTTTCATAACTTTTTTAATAATGCAAAATATAGCATATACTAAAAGGATGTTGGACGGTGCAATCAACCATTCTGAAATCAAGGTGGCCCGAGTTTTTATAGACACACCTGCCCAGTACATGGCAACCGCCCACGCTGGGGGCTGGAGGGGCGCCACGAGGGCGGGGCTGCGGGCTGAACCAGCCAGGGAGGCCCCGGCTGCTCCCAGGTCCGACTGGTGGATGACACGGGCTGCTCCAGGGCCCGCGGCTCCCTCCACGCTACCCGGGAGCCCTTCTGGCCTGGAGCGCTCGGGCTGAGGACCAGAAGTCATCTGTTCTCTGAATGACTATGGGACTCTGGTCCAGAAAAGTCCCCTGCAGAGGGAATGTTAGGGTCCTTCACTTCCCTTTGTCCCCCCATCACCCAGTTTTCCTTTGGGTGAGTCACTCCTCAGTCTCAGTTGAGGGGTTCTGTGGGATTTCGGCCTGTCCCTTTCACCCCAGCTCCCAGAGCAGGTCAGCACTGCTTGAACAGCGTGGCTAACCCTCCGCCTACAGCAGGATGGGCGGCTAGACGGGGATGTGATGGTCAAGACCACAGGCAGGAGGTGCAGGCTGCTCGGGAGGAGGAGCTTCTCCATCTGCAGGCAGAGACGTCCCCTCCCGCCATCTGGGTGACAGCGTGCGGCCGAGGTGAGGGTGAGGGTGTGGGGTGCTCGGCTGCCGGGAGAACCCACACAGGTTTGACTGACACAGGGACACAGCTCAATACCAGGAGGCAGAACGAGCACAGTCTGCTCTTCACAGCTATTGGAGTCCATCGACTCATCTGATCCGACGGAAGTCTGACCTCCCCGGCCTCTCCTGGAGACGCGGGGGGGGGGGGGGGGGGCTGGGGGGGGGGGGAGCGGCATTTGGGGAGGGTTAAGACGGCAACCCCTTGATGCCCTTGAGGGCCATGCAAACGACTACCTCATGCACTGCTGTGAAAACAATCAGCCAGCCACCGGAATGCACACCAGGGCCTCTATCTGCAGCAAAGGTTTCTTATTCAGATATTCACACACTGGAGGGAGCCTCCAGACGGAGGTCTACTTTCACCGTGGTGTGGCGTGTAAGTGGACACAGTTCAGGTCCACTGTGAAGAGGCAGTGGCCACACATTTGTTAGCTGCACTTTGAAATGGACTTGCGTTTAACCATGGATTGTGACATGACTTAGAAACCGAAGCAAGCTCGGCGGCGTGCTCAGGGTCAGAGCGCTGCCGAGCCGTGAAGGGCCGTGGTTCGATTCGGGTCAAGGGCATGTACCGGGTTTCGGGTTCACCCCAGCTGTCAGACTCCTTTCTCCCCTCCCCCCTCCCCTCTAAAAATCAATGGAAAAAATATCCTTGGGTGAGGATTCACAAAAAAAAAAAAGAAAAAAAGAAACTGAAGCCAAACCCCATGATTGTAATTGTATCGTCTGCAAACTCATCCCTTATTTTTATTATTTTAAAAATGTATCTTTATTGTTGAAAGTATAACAGATCTCCCCCCTCCCCCGCCCTGCGCCCCGGCCCTTCACTGCACTGTGGCCTGTC